GATTGTGATGTCTTTAAAGACTGTGCGCTGGATGTCAGGGGCCTCCCCATTTGCTGAGATAAGATTGTCTCTGTTTTCCAGAGTAATTTTGGTCAAGATATTGGCACCTATTGGTCCTGGGTATGACTAGAAATAGGCTCCATTGGGTATTTAGCAAGTAGAGGCATGCAATTTGTGTCCTGGGTTTCTCTACGTATGTGTGTATGTGTGCAGCAGTGGTGGAGGTGGTTGAAGATTGAAAGGTTCCAATGCAAGAAAACGAAGTTCCCCAGATGTATTGAGTGGGAAGCAGGAAACTCCAAGGAGGTGAATGTGAGCCTTAACCTTTTATGGGAGTTGGGGTGGGGGAGCAGAAAAGATGAAAAAGTAATACTCCTTTAAATATATAAGGAACTTTACAATTGATAAAGCATGTTCACATGCATTTAGTTCATCTGATCTATGCAAGAACAACACAACGTAGAAAGTTCCTGTGATCTCAGCTTGGAGAGGTGGAGTAGCCAGGTTCAAAGGTCACATGGTTATTAATGGGGGAGCAGACCTACCACCTCTGGACTCCAGCCCCAGTGCTCTGTGCACCATGGTATACTGCCCCTCCTGTGAGAGAGAAAGAGAGTCTGTGTGTGTGTGTGGAGAGAGTGTGTGTGTGTGTGTGTGTGTGTGTGTGTGTGTGTGTGTCCTGCTGTGTGCAGACCTGTCCTTCAAAAGAGAGTCTGTGTGTGTGTGTGTGTGTGTGTGTGTGTGTGTGTCCTGCTGTGTGCAGACCTGTCCTTCAAGGGAGTTTATGTGAAGGCAAGAATGCTTTGTGTTCACCAGGGCCACAAGAAGATAGATTATGAATTCAGGAAAAACACAGGAAATTGGTTTTGGGTCAACTGCGATGTCTTAGACAAGTTATCCTTAGTTTTTTGGGGGTTTTTTTTGGAATACTTCATGAATTTGTGTGTCATCCTTGTACAGGTGCGATGCTAATCTACTCTGTATCATTCTAATTTTTAATGTATGTGCTGCCAAAGCAAGAACTAGCCTTAGTTTTCATCTCAGTAAAATAATAAGTACCTTGAGGGGTTGTTTTAGGGCTCAGACATAGTATACATGAAGTACCTAGACTAGGTACCCACCATGAACATGGCAAGCATCCAGCAAATGATAACTGCTAATACCCTATATACGTGGAACTGGCTTGTGTGCAGAAACCTATCTGTTTGCAGATAAGAAAGACAGCAGCTTGGCTAAGGGCCAAGAGTAGCTGGTTTTGTCCAAATCCAAATACGTCTGCAGATATTCTCCACAGAGCCTTACTACATAAAGCCAAGTCCCACTTCCTGGCCTGGCCTTTCTAACTCCTCACACGGACTTGCTAATGGACTTGCTAGGTATGCAAGATACATATAATTTAAGGTTTAAATCAAACCACAGAGTGTGGTGGTACGTCAGAGGACTGAGATGCCCTCAGTAATTTCACAGATTACATTTTTGGGTAGGATGACTGAGTCAGATCCTGGAGGTGATGGGTCCAGCAGATCACAGCTGCTGGGCACCTACTAGTGCGTGCCATTCCCACATAGAATCTCGCTGAATCCTAACAAGCAGCCATGTGAACAGGCATTATTCCCATTTTACACATGAGGAGACTAAAGGGATGCTAAGTTAATTGTCAAAAGTCATCAGGGGCTGAGATTCAAGGCAAAGCCTGCCTGGCTTCTAAGTCAAGTTCCTTTTGCTTCCTACAACCCATCCCTCTGATAGTCTCTCTTTTGACCAAAACTTATTATCCTAGCCCGCCTTCAGCAATAATCCTATCAAGTTAGTTTAGCCAGAAACCCCTCATTCTTGATTTCCTCTTAGTAAAAAATTTTGCATCGGGCCGGCCCGGTGGCGCACTGCTACAGTGCGCTGCTTGGGAGCGCGGTGGCACTCCCGCCGAGGGTTCGGATCCCACATACAGACCGGCCGCTCGCTGGCTGAGCGAGGTGCGGGCGCAACACCGAGGGTTGCGATCCCGTTGCCGGTCCTGGTCCGCTACGGGGGCGACACTGAGGGTTGCGATCCGTTGCTGGTCACGAAAAAAGACAAAAAGGAAAAAAAAAAAAAATTTGCATCCACTGACCCCCACCCTGCTCCCTAGTTATAAATCCCCACTTGTCCTTGCTGGAGTCAGAGTTGAGACCAATCTCTCTCCCCCACTGCAAGAGTCTGTGGCTATGGTCCCTATACCCATTGCTGGCCCCCTTGAATAAAGTCTGCCTTACCACTTGGGAGCGTGACGGTGCTCCCGCCGAGGGTTCGGATCCCACATACAGACCGGCCGCTCGCTGGCTGAGCGAGGTGCGGGCGCAACACCGAGGGTTGTGATCCCGTTGCCGGTCCTGGTCCGGTACGGGCGCGACACTGAGGGTTGCGATCCGTTGCTGGTCACGAAAAAAGACAAAAAGGAAAAAAAAAAAATTTTGCATCCACTGACCCCCACCCTGCTCCCTAGTTATAAATCCCCACTTGTCCTTGCTGGAGTCAGAGTTGAGTCCAATCTCTCTCCCCCACTGCAAGAGTCTGTGGCTATGGTCCCTATACCCATTGCTGGCCCCCTTGAATAAAGTCTGCCTTACCATCTTTAACAAGTGTCATAAATAACTTTTCTTTAACAACTCCATCACAAGTGGCACCCCACACTGAAACTAGGAAATGCTAGGTCAACAGGTGTCAGCACATCACGTGGAGCCTGAGCAGATGAGGAGGGTGAAGAAGGCTGGTCAATAGGGAGGTGGCCTGGGAAAGGGAGCGTATTCACCAGCACTGTACACCATATTGGCTTCTTCCCCACCCCCTTCCTCTAGCACAAGTTCATCCTGACCTCGCTTCTGGTTTTCAGCTCTCCAAGTGGCCTTCATGGCGTATCCCTTCAAGTCAGGCCCATGGAGACACACGCAGAGGATGTGCCAGGGAAGGGGCAGGAAGGAGCAGGGGAGGCTCCAACAGAGCCCAGAACCTTCTGCTTGTCTACCTACCCAGAGACAGTCAGGTGCCCCGGAGGTACTCTGGCATTTCTTTTCAGGTTGCAAGGTGATGCGGAGCCCCAGGCATGTTGGAGGCTCAATTTTAGCATCAGCTGGACCTAATTAGCTTTGGTGAGGGGCCAGGTCCTTTCACAGAGGACTCCATTGTTCCCGAAACCTGGCAGGAATGTTTATCATTTCAGAAACTGAGAAGGGGCTGGCTCCCTCCTTCTTGGCCTCAGGGCTGTCCTCCCTTAAGATACTAATCCATAAAGCCATTCCAAGCCAGACTTCAGATGGAGCTCGGGGCTGGGGTGGAGCTCAAACACTCATTTCCCTCTGGAGCAAGGCAGGTGTGGAATCAACACCTGGAAAGCAGCCAAATGGAAACCTAAAGCAACAGCTCAGAATGTCACATGTCAAATAACTTAATTGGGTAATCATCTGAGGAAGGGTTTGTGAAAAACACATGTGAGAGTCTGTACCAAGAGTGTGAGCGACTAATCCGAGAAGACGGTTCAGTCTGCCTGAGCCTGCCTCAGCCTCACCCAGCTGCAGACCCCGGGACCTAGCTGCACCAGTTCCTCCCAGCAAAACACATGTGAGAGTCTGTACCAAGAGTGTGAGTGACTAATCCGAGAAGACGGTTCAGTCTGCCCGAGCCTGCCTCAGCCTCACCCAGCTGCAGACCCCGGGACCTAGCTGCACCAGTTCCTCCCAGAAGCTCTGGAAATGGTATCTAGCGATCCCCACCTTAGACCCCTGGGAAGTTAAACATCCTGAAGCTGCAACGGCACCCCACCCTGAATGCCCACCAAATGTGCAGTCGTGAGCTGTAAGAGGCGGTATAGTGTAGTGATTACCTGTCCAGACGCTGGTTCAGACTGCCTAGTTAAGTCCTTGCTTTGCTGGTCATTGACTGTCTGACTTTGAGTAAATTATTTCTCTGTGCTTCAGTTCTCCTATCTGCAAATGGGATGATAATAGCACCTATCTGCTAGGACAGTCCTAATAATTAAATGAGTAAAGATAAGTAAAAATTTTAAGATAGTACCTGGCCTTTAGTAAGTGGTTAATATTGTGCTTTTCTCCCGGTTCCAAGTCATCTGTGGGTTCCTGCTGGGACTGTCGCAAGCCTCTTTTTCACGCTATATATTCAGCTTCTGCAGCACTCTCTCTACTCCCACCAGGGCTGACCTAGTTCTCTGGGTACAAGAGGTTGGCAGGGCCCTGTTTCCAGCCACATGGAATCCCACTCTGTGGCCATGTCCCTGTCCATCACTAACCCCTTGGAGAACCATGAGTGGGGCCTGGACCTGAGTCTGAAACAACTTTCTATTCATCTGACTCCCTTGGTGGTGTGAAGGAGACCCAGGACTTAGGACCACTTGTCAATTCAAACCAGCCCCTCTACTGTTCTGTTTCACCCACCATGAAGTCCCAGAGGCCATACATTCTGGTCAGGGGGAGGTGGGTATGTTTGAATATTTAAAAAATATATATATTCTGAACTCATCATGGGGAAAAAAACAAGGGATTTCTTTAGAAAACTGCTCCAAACTGTTTGGCTCTGAAAGAAAATGCAGTGCCAAATTTTTGCCTACTAAAATGACATTTCATGTGGAATCTGAGTCAAACCCAAAGGAAAGTATATTGGTTCTTAGAGTCAGCAAAACAATTCAGTCTTTGGTATCCAACACTCCATTATTCATTGGCCTGAATTGGCAGGAGAGCTGTTGCACTTTGGAGACGACCAGAAAATTGGGGTGGGGACATGGGGGGGCGGGCAGCCTGGGAGGTGATAAGTAGCTAATGAGAGAAAAACAATCTGAACTGCCTGTCAGGCCAACGCTGAACAACACGTTGGGCAATTATTATTTGGAGATGGAGAACATTGAGTCTCCCCTTGCTACTCTCTCAGCTCATTTCCCTGCTTTATGGAGTCATTTTCCTGAGCAAGTGCATCAAAGCAAGCGTCTGGCTGTCGAGCCCTGGGCCCGCGTGCGCTCACCGGGGCCTGCGGAAGGTCAGGCCGTAGTGCTGGCAGGCCAGGCCCACCGTGGGCGTGTACACGATCGGCAGGAACTTCTCCACGTCCGACGTCAGCACCCGGTAGAAGAGCTTCTCGTTCCGGTCTTGGAGGGTCATGAGGATGATGTACCTTGGAAAGGGAGAGAAGAAGCAAGCTGATCACCCAAGCGAGTGCGCTAGGGGCAGCAGGGCAGCGTTGGAAGCCTCTGCTAAGAAGGGCGAAGCCGTTTGGTGCGGTGTGAAGACCAGGGCTCCTGCTCCTGCCCAGCTACTGTGGCTCGTTCAGGGCAAATCACCCTAAGCATGGGTTTCCACATCTGTGAAATGTGCAACATAGATCTGCTTTATGGTGCTTATTATTATACACGGTGCAGGTGCTGTTCTAAATATTTTGCATCAACTCATTTAAAACTTCCAAGCACTTGTGAGGTAGGTACTATAATTCCTGCTGTTTTAGAGACAAGGAGACCAATGCACAGAGAAATAAACTCACCCAGGGTCTCATGGCAGAGTGGGGAATTGAACCTAAGCACTCCGACTCCAGAAACTGCTCTCAACCACCGTGCAAGATAGTTACGTCATTATATGGACATTAATGAATGACAATAGAATACTAATGTTCTGGGGTGGAGTAGAGTCGAGGAAAACACTGGGCAAATGAGTGCTGTGTGAACTGGCCCTTCCTACACACAGGGCTGGTTCCTGTCACAAGCAGAGTTCACAAGTGGCTGAGTAGCAAGTAATTTTAGAAGGCATGTTGCAAAAATAATCTCTTTTACCTATTTCCTGAAGCCTAAAAATGCAAAAACCTCTGGGAGAGAAAACCCAGGGGTTGAAATTCGTAATGAGGCGTGATTGCTGATAGCACAACGTGTCTGGACAACAGTTTGAGACAGATTACAGAGGTACTTGAGACCCTGGCATGCGGTGGGTGAGAGAGATGCTCCACTGGGGAAAAGAGCTGTGGTGAAATGGTCCCTAGGCAGGGCATCAGAGTCCTGAGTTTGAATCCCAGCTCTGTCAGAGGTACTTGAGACCCTGGCATGCGGTGGGTGAGAGAGATGCTCCACTGGGGAAAAGATCTGTGGTGAAATGGTCCCTAGGCAGGGCATCAGAGTCCTGAGTTTGAATCCCAGCTCTGTCATTCACTAGCTATGTTACTTTGGGAAAATCTTGTGATCTCTGGGGTCCTTAGCCTCTTCTCTACCAAAGGTACTGGTCCAGAACTAACATCTGTGTTCTGGAAGGTATTTTTAGGAAGGGTAAGGATTACACTCAAGACTAGCCAGAATCTCAACTCATTGCCAGTGTAAGGACTCCCTTACCAGTAGCCACTTGTGCATGTCTCTTCCCAATTCTACATTCAGTTATGTCAAGTTGGTAACTTAAAATCAGCCATGGTGGGAGTATTTACACTATGGAAATTAGCAAATGCTATAGATTCCCTACCCCTGTCCCCCACAAAGAACCAGTTATTAAACATTTACCAGCACACCACTGCCCTGACCCAGAAGAAGCTGGGGAGACTTCTTAGCATTTCCCCAGACACCTGCTGAAATGAGGGACTCCTGGGAATGAGTGGGTCAACCGAGTGAGCACAGCATCAGGAGCAAGCCCTCTAGAGCTCCCAGGAATGGGCACACTCATCTGTCCCTGAGCCGGGAATGTCTTCCCAGCAAGGCCTTCTGAGCAAGGCCCATCAAGCTGGAAAGAACTGCGGAGGGAAGGATTTGGGACTTCAACTTTTAAAGTTTAATATCTTTAGGAAAGAGGATTTCACTTTGGACTTTAATTCTTCTTCATATGAGGGAGGTTCACATTGGTCAAAGTCAGGGCATGTCTCAGGTCGCCAGTTGAACTTACTGTGAAATTTCTGGTTTCTTCTTCAGGGTGACATGGCTAGATCCAATATGAATGCGATGAACGACAGGAAGAGAATATTTGGCCTTTGCTGCAGTATGGCCTTGGAGTTCATGTGAGTAATATCTTTAGAGTTTAAAACGTAGGCATAGGGGCGGGGGTGTGGGCAGAGGCTGACTTGTTCACCACCTCTTAGGAACAACGGATGGAAGCATAGGAAGACGTGTGCAGGGTGGCCCTCACATGCTGCTGAGCTCTGCCCCTGGGGGACAGCCACATCCTTATGGACCTAATATTTTGGCCATTTAGCTGTATAGATATACAGAGGGAATCCTCATCTTCTTCTTACATCTCTGCTAGAGCCTATAGCAAAGTGACATATTTATGTAGCAAACTCTTACACAGTACCTACTATGTGCCAGGCACCGTTCTAAGCACACTGCAAATACTAATGCATTTAGTCCTCATGATAACCTTCCAAGTTAGGTACCTTTGAAATACTCATTGTACAAATGGGGAATGATCCAGAGAGGCTAAGTAGCTTTTGCTATTAAATGGCAGAGTGTGGACTTGAACTCAATCTAATACTAGACTCTAGTCTTGCAGCCACTAGGCTCTGCTGCATCTTGGCTGTGGCATAGCAGAGAAGTTAAAAGCACAGACTCTGGAGCCAGCTATCTATGTTCAAATCCTGACTGTGCCAATGTATAGCCAGGTGACCTGGGAGGTGACTACCTTCTTTAGTAAAGCTGATCAAGCTGACCCTGTGGTTCTCCGTTTGGGTCTTTGTGTCTGCATCTCCACTGGGCACATGACATCTAGGTCACTCCCAAGGTGTCCCCTGTCCCTTTCCCCTCTGCCCCACCATGTTCCCCTTATGCCATGAACCCAGGCCATGTACTACTTCCTTAATACATCTCTACATCTTTGCCCTACCTTTTCCCTCTCAGTGAAATGCCCTTCCTGAACCCCACTGCTGTCTGCTGAAGTCTTATCAGTGCTCATTGGGCCGACTCACCTCCTTCTGCATCCCAGAGGCCCTCCTGGATTCCACTGGTTGGAATTTAGTTTCCCTTCCTAGTTCTCCCTGGATGTGTCGACCGTACCTCAATCCTAACAAGCCTTGTATCTCAGGGAGACCATCACTCCTTTAGAAGGCAGGGCCGGGGCTGGGATCTCTAGGTGCTGTCAGCCTTTTCTTGCTGGGGAGTATACAGAAAACCCTCTGTGGACCACAGGAAACAGCTCAGCCCAAGAATCAGGTAGACAGAACAGACTTTAGGTACGTACTTGTCCAGGTCACTCTGCTGCCGCTCATAGTACCTCATGATCCGGAGAAGCTGGACGTCCTGGCTCAGGAAGCAGGGGGGGATTAGGCCGTGGATTCCGAGCTGCAGCCTTTCTTCAAGTGTAAAGGCCATCCCCTGGGGAGAACAAGAAAGAACCACACACACACACTCACAAATGGATATGCAGAAACTGAGGAACAGGAAGGGTCCCATCCACAGTCAGGCGAAAGTCAGTGTGACTCAGTAGAAAGGGCCCTGGACTCAAATCCCACCGCTGCCATTTAAGTAGCGGGCAATCTTATGCTAGTTATTTTGGTGTTTCTGAGCTTTAGCTTATTCATTGGAAAAATGGGGAAAATATGTACACCATCAGCTTTTTGTTGTTTTTGTTTCCTAAATATATACATATATATTATTTTTAGAACAGTTTTAGATTTAGTTTTAGAAAAACTGAGAAGATAGTACAGAGTTCCCATATACCCTTCACCCAGTTTCCCAAGTATTAACAACTTACATTAGTACGATACATTCATTAGAGTTAATGAACCAGTAGTGATCCATTATTATGAACTAAAGCCTTTCGTTTATTCAGATTTTGATACATTCATTAGAGTTAATGAACCAGGGACGGGTATGGAGCGCCCGTGTCAGGAAACGGCGCGATCCTGAGAGCTGTGAGCTGTGATACTCCTTGATTTTACCTAGCATTCTTTTTTTTTGTTCCAGGATCCCATCCAGGATCCCCCATTACATTTAGTCATCATGTCTCCTTAAGGCTCCTCTTGGTTCTGACAGTGTCTCAGACTTCCCTTGTTTGTGATGACCCTGTCAGTTTGGAGATGCACTGACCAGGTATTTAGTACGATATTCCTGTACTGGAATTTGCCCAATGTTTTTCTCATGATTAGACTGGGGATATGGGTTTTGGGGAGGAAAACCAGAGAGGTAAATTGCCATTTTCATTATATCAGATTAAAGATACATGCAAGAAACATGATATGTCACTGTTGGTATGGACCTTGATCACCTGGCTGAGTTAGTGCTTGTCAGGTTTCTCCTTGGTAAAGTTACTCCTGTTTTGCAGTTCTTCTGCCAGGGAAATTTGTCTCTTTCCCATCACTTATTTATTTATTCAGTATTTTATTTATATTAGAATGGACTCATGAATATTTATTTTATACTTTCAGTTATAATCCAATACTTCTTTCTTTATTTTGTTGCTCAAATTGTTCCACTTTTAGCCACTGGGAGCACTTTCGATTTGCTACTGTGTCCCTTTGACATTCTCCCATAATGTTATGTTTCAATGTTTTTTTGAGTAATTCCATACTTTCTGGCACTAAAAGATGCTCCAAGTTCATCTTGTATATTGCTTGCCCTGGTCCTAGAATCAGCCATTTCTTCAAGGAGCTCTGATTCCCTTTCTGAAGCACAGTATTAGAAAGCAAGATCTGAGGCCGGCCCGTGGCTCACTCGGTAGAGTGCGGTGCTGATAACACTAAGACCACGGGTTCGGATCCTATATAGGGATGGCCAGTTTGCTCACTGGCTGATCATGGTGCTGACAACACCAAGTCAAGGGTTGAGATCCCCTTACCGGTCATCCTTTTAAAAAAAAAAAGAAAGCAAGATCTGAGGCCGGCCCGTGGCTCACTCGGTAGAGTGCGGTGCTGATAACACTAAGACCACGGGTTCGGATCCTATATAGGGATGGCCAGTTTGCTCACTGGCTGATCATGGTGCTGACAACACCAAGTCAAGGGTTGAGATCCCCTTACCGGTCATCCTTTTAAAAAAAAAAAGAAAGCAAGATCTGGGTACTACTTACTACCTGTGCTTCTTGCTACTGTATTTAATTATTTCTAGTTTTAGACAGAGAAAGGAAATATACAGGTGTATACTAAAACCTGTGTAAACACATATCCATAAGTGTTTTGATATTTAACCATCTGAACCTATATTAAGCTAAACACAAGTTCCCATTGTCTCCGACTCTGACCCATTTCCACATGAATCATTCTGTCCTCATCACCTTGCTGATCTGTAAATTCTTGCTCCCAAAGTTAGAAACTTAACTCCCATCATTTGCCATGTCCTTACTTAATTGCTTGATTCCAGTATATACATACAGCAGTATCAAAATTGTTAACCTGGGCCGAGCCCGTGGAAGACAACTTTATAAATTAGAGTACAGTGCTTACATGGGGATCGTCTTGCCTTTAGTCCTACAAACTCCACTCATTTCCAAAGTTTCTCAAGTCAACACTTCTTCCCTCTGCCCTCTTCACTTAGATTGTTATATACATTTATAATACACTTAGATTCTCTTGTCACAGTCTGCATTCCTTCCTGGGATTTCCCCAACCTATTAAATGATTTTTTTTTAAAAAAATCTGAATACCCATTAAGTTTCATTCTCTGTGCTGTAAAGTTCTATAAGGTTTAGACAAATACATGTCATGCGTCCACCACTACAGTATCATACAAAATAGTTTCACTGCACTAAACATCTCATGGGCTTTTCCTATTCATCCTTCCCCAAACCTCTGGCAGGCACTGGTTTTTTTTTTTACTGTCTCTACAGTTTTGCCTTTTCTAGAATGTCATACAATTGGAATCATTATAATTGTATGTAACCTTTTCAGACTGGCTTATTTCACTTAGAAACATGTACTTAAGCCTATCCATGTATTTTCATGGCTTCATTACTCATTTCTTTTTATCACTGAATAATATTCCTTGTATGTTTGTACCATAGTTTCTTTCTCTGTTTACCTCTTGAAGGACATATTGCTCATTTTCAGTTTTGGGTGATTATATATAAATAAAGTTGCTATAAACATTCCCGTGCAGGTTTTTGTGTGGGCATAAGTTTTCAAATCATTTGGGTAAATTGCTGGATCATAAAGTAAGACTATGTTTAACTTTGTAAGATGCTGCCAAAGTGTTTTCTAAAGTGGCTATACCATTTTTCATTCCTACCAGTAGTGTATGAGAGTTTCTCTTGCTCCACATCCTCTTCAGCAATTGGTATTGTCAATTTTTCTGATTTTAGTCATTCTAATAAGTGTATAGTGGTGTGTCATTATTGTTTTAACTGCAATTCCCTATTAACATAAAATGTTGAGCAACTTTCCATATACTTATTTTCCACCCATATGTCTTCTTTAGTGAGGTATCTGTTCAGATATTTTGCTCATTTTTAAATTTATTTTTTTCCTTATTATTGAATTTTAAGAGTTCTTTGATCTACAGTTGTAATGCAATTGGTATCAAAATTGTAATGATCTTTTTTGCAGAAATAGAAAAGCCAATCTCCAAATTCATACGGAATAGCAAGGGGCCCCAAACAGCCAAAACAATTTTTATAAAGAGATTTTGAACCTTACTACAAAGCCACAGTAATCAAAACAGTTTGGAACTGGCATAAAGATAGATATATAGATCAATGAAATAGAATCGAGAGTTTGGAAATACACTCATACATCACTGGCAAACTGATTTTTGACAAGGATACCAAGTCCATTCAGTGGGGAAAGATAGTCTCTTCAAGAGATGGTGTGGGGGGCCGGCCCGTGGCTCACTCGGGAGAGTGTGGTGCTGATAACACCAAGGCCCCGGGTTCGGATCCCTTATAGGGATGGCCGGTTAGCTCACTGGGTGAGCGTGGTGCTGACAACACCAAGTCAAGGGTTAAGATCCCCTTACCGGTCATCTTTAAAAAAAAAAAAAAAAAAAGAGATGGGGTGGGGACAACTGGATTTCCACATGCAAAAGAATGAAGTTGGACCCCTTCCTCACATCATATACAAGTATTAACTCAAAATGGATCAACAACCTAAATATAAGATTGAAAACCTTAAAACTCTTAGAAGAAAACATAGGGATAAATCTTTATGACCTTGGATTTGGTAATAGATTCTTAGATATGACACATAAGCAACAAAAGAAAAACTAGATTAGGGCCGGCCTGTGGCTCACTCGGGAGAGTGTGGTGCTGATAACACCAAGGCTGCGGGTTCGGATCCTATATAGGGGTGGCCGGTTCGCTCACTGGCTGAGCGTGGTGCTGACAACACCAAGCTAAGGGTTAAGATCCTCTTACCGGTCATCTTTTAAAAATAAATAAATAAATAAATAAATAAATAAAAACTAGATTAATTAGACTTCATGAAAATTAAAAACTTGTGCATCAAAGGACACTATCAGGAAAGTGAAAGACAGTCTAAAGAATGGGAGAAAATATTTGGAAATCATATATCTGATAAAGATTTAATATCCAGAGTATATAAAGAACTACAACACACTCAACAAAAAGAAATACAACCCAATTAAAAACTGGGCAAAGGACTTGAATATACATTTCTCCAAAGAAGATATGCAAATAACCAATAGCATGTGAAAAGATGCTTAACAACATTAGTCACTAAGGAAATGCAAATCAAAACCGTAATGAGATACCACTTTCAGCCAACAGAATGGCTGTAATTAAAGAAAGAAATACAAAAAAACCCCCCAGAAAACAAGTGTTATTGAAGACATACACAAATTGAAACCCTTCAACATTGCTGGTAGGAGTGTGAAATGTTATAGCCTGTATGAAAAACAGTTTAGCAGCTCCCCAAAAAGCTAAATATAGAATTACCATATTACCCAGGAATTCNGTAATGAGATACCACTTTCAGCCAACAGAATGGCTGTAATTAAAGAAAGAAATACAAAAAACCCCCCCAGAAAACAAGTGTTATTGAAGACATACACAAATTGAAACCCTTCAACATTGCTGGTAGGAGTGTGAAATGTTATAGCCTGTCTGTAAAACAGTTTAGCAGCTCCCCAAAAAGCTAAATATAGAATTACCATATTACCCAGGAATTCTACTAGTAGGTGCATGCCCAAAGGAACTGAAAGCAGGGACTTGAACAGATGCTTGTGAGATAGAGTTGATCCATTTCCATGCATTCAGTTTTCAGGTTTCACACCTCTGGGTTTTAAACCACTTCCCAAGGTCTCAAGCCCCTCTTCTAGGCTCTCCTCTAGGGGAGAGTTACTGTTGTTTATTGGACCTATTTTCAGCACCAACACTGGAAATTGATACCTCAGGGGGCTGACTTATGCAAATCCAGTGGCTG